TTTTATAAAATCCTAAACTTTTAGTGAAAAAAAATACATTATTTAGTGGGTAACAAATAAAAGTGATTAAGTGTAGGGCTAAATCTGGTAGGCCTACACATTGCTTTTTGTATTGTTGTAAAATACATGAATGAAAAACAAGTAATATATTTATATATAAATATATACTATAGTAGTCAACATTTGAAGTGGATCAAAACCTTTCATCAAAGTTGTCCTAAAACCAAAACAATACCCGTTCTGGTCTTAAGACAACTTTGATTAACTTTTTTGATCCACTTCAAATGTTGACTACTGTATAAATTAAAAGACATTTCTTTTAAATGTATAGCAGAGTAATGAGGTAGCAACATATGATAGATAAGACGAACAAGAAAGGCTATTAATAATCTTTAATTGCGCAAAAGTATTGTAATACTAAAGGCTACAAATACAGAGCAGCTCAAAGTGCTTATGCGCATCCCGTGCGCAGAATGAGGCGCTTGAAGCAACATGTCACAGCACGCAGTGCTCCGCATAGAGAAGTTCAAAGCACAAAGGGAAGAGATATTGATGCGTAGTGTATTAAATATGTGCTTTAGTTTATTGAGCCTTTTCTTTTAAGTTTTAAATTTCTGTTACTGTGCTCGTGACGAACAATTCATAGTGCTCTCTACTTGTGTCTTGTGATCTAACCAGATATCCAGTAGAAATGTACACGATTTAGAAACAGCACGAAACTCCAGCAAGATAAATTCATTTTATGCAAAACCATTTATCTTTATTTACAGATCAAGTATAACATTAGGAACATTTAATCATCTTAGAGAGAGTTTCATCGTCTTGACTGTCATAACCCAACGTGACACACAGTTTGAATGCTGAATGGAGGATGACAGACAGCCGCTGCGGAGAGAAGAATTTACGTGAACTTGACTTAAATATTCATCTGTACCTCACATTAAACTATGGAAAAGCTTTAGAACACTTGAAATAAACTGCATGAAAACTTTATGGTGCTTTATAATGTTTTTGTGACTTTTGTGGGGCTTAATAATAACACAGAATAGCATACGCACTATATCATCGGATTTGGATCGGTCTCGTCTGACCGATACCCCGATCCAGCAGAAAATGCCAGTATCGGAGCGATACCGATACTGAATATCGGATCAGCGCACCCCTAGGAAGCAGTTCGGGGCGGATGACATATGAGGTCGGCTTTAAGTATGCGCTGGTGAGTCTCGTGAAAACCAAGGGAGCAAAGTTGTTAAAGGGAGCAAAGTTTCCTTACTTAAGCAAAGGAAAACCAGTCTCCTCTTGGCTTATATCGAAATCCTCTGACATTCTTCTTTACAAATCCACGTTTTGTACTTCTAATTAGTGACCGTTGTTTTGTTTTGATCTCTCCTCTGCGTTTCCGCGTGCGTCACTTCTGAATGGCACATGCGCAAAGCTGATCTCATACGTCATCAGCCCGGAACTGCTTCCGTGTACAACAGAGAAGGCAAGCTACATTAAAGTGATTATTACGTTTTAACTATGGTTATTTTTCTTACAAAAATGCATCGATTCGCTAAAGAAGGAAAGGAAAGAAGGGTTCACCACCCAGAGCCCTGTGAGACACTTTTTTATGGGTGGGTGCTTTTTATTTAACTTCTTTTGGACTGATGCATGCAACACCCGCTGAGTGCCATTAAACAGCTTGAAAGATCAAAGACAATTTTTAATATAACTCCGACTGGATTCATCTGAAAGAAGAAAGTCATATACACCTAGGATGACCTGAGCGTGAGTAATTTATGGGCTAATTTTCATTTTTGAAAGTTAACCCTTTAATAGATAAATATTGACAAAAAACACTGAATAAGATTTGCTAATAAATAAGATTACCTTAATAATGGAATAGAGGGGCAAAGTTTTAGACAGGTTTCACATTACTGTCACATTACTTCAATATATCTTTCCTTAATTACTGCGTTTACGCTTGATTTGAAGAAGCAAACGTAGTGACATTCCTTTCAGTTGTATACCAGACATAGTTCATAGTCACAGCCGATGCTAATGGTAATATATTACTGCTAAATTTTCCTGTTATGCCATAATCCATTTTTTTAACACTTTTAAGATGTTTTTGAAAGCAGAATACTGTTGCCCCCTGCTTGAGACAGAAAGAGACAAAGAGAGAGTGATGTTCAGCTGTAAGGACTCCATGTTCCCTCTTGCTGGCCCAAAATCCAACATCACAAACACTCTTATCAACAGCAGGCAAAAAGAGAGGGTGTGAGTGAGGGAGATTTCATTGCAGGTTCGAGTGACAGAACACACAAAAAATGAACATGCACTTGTTCTCTCTTTCTCCCTCAGAAAAAGGTGGTGGAGCAGTTAAGGAGGGATCTACTGGTGAAACAGGAAGATATGAAGCTGCAGACACTTCAAGCCGATGGGCAAACATCTACCTTGCTCATCACACAGACACCGACGCCTCTGCCTGCTGCCAGCCTCACTGCTCCACAGGTACCCACACAACACACAAGAAGAAAGGATCTCTCTAAAGACAATGCCCTGTTTTAGATGAACATTTAAAGGTTTAGTTCACACAAAACTAAAAAATAGCTTGTTTGCAGTCATGATTCTGATGATGCGCAGAATTCAGATGGAGGGCAGGAAGTTAAAAGCAAAATGGATTTGATGGAGGAAAGTCCGTACTGTACTGGTTTAGACACTATTACAAGAGAAGGGTATAAACAGAAAATCACAACATATGTTGGACATGTTCCAACTAACCCTGATTGCAAACAAGCTATTTCAAAAGTGAATCCCTCATTTATATGCTTCCATATAATCACTAAAAAGCTGTCACTCTCTTCAGTTTATCACAATCTCACAATGTTCTGTTATAATCAACTGCACAATGAATCTCTTATTTACATGGTGTCTATGTGGCGTTTAGCAGTGAGTGAATTCTGAATGTTTCACGCTGAATGCGTGAGAGTTGGTAGCCCTGTATTACTATGTATAGTTTTAAATATGTTTGTGATATTTTAATATATTATTAATATCTTAACCATTTGCGCAAATGAGCATTATCTGACTCTGCTTTTTCCGACTGCAGACGCAGGTTTACAAGCCACTTTTTCCTGCGTTTTTCAGTCAATTTCTTGCTTTTTTCCTACTTATGAACAACAACTTTTGGTACACTATAAAAGATCCTTGTGGTTTCTCAGTTTGATCGATTTGAGCATTCATAAACAACGCAAAACATATGCATTTCGAGTTTGTGATAGTGCTTCATATGTAGAAAATCATTTCCTGCGCTTTATCTGCACAGCTATGCAGTGACATGACGTCATGTGCAAACAAGCTATTCTGTCATTATTTACTTGTCTTCATGTTGTTCCAAACCCATATGACTGACTTTCTTTCTGGGAACACAAGGAATGAAGACCTGGGCTGTCAAGCTCCAAAATGACAAAGACACACCCTAAAGTATTATAAAAATGGTCCATATAGAAATATTTTTATGAGAAATTTCTGAATATTGTTTTGGTTATGATTTTCCATGCAGTTAGGCTAAGCACTGAGGCTTTCAAGTTTCAAACCGGGGCACCATAAAAGTGGTCCATGTGACTCCTGAAGTCATATTATAGCTTTGTGTGAAGGATGGGCTTAAAGTTTAATTTTGTTATCCACTTGACATCTGCCCTAACTCTCTTTGGCATATTCATGAAAGTCAGTGAGAGAAGTAGTTTCTTTAAATTGGTTGTTTTGAGTCAGCGGTCCGAATTATTCATTTATGAATCAAACTTATCTTGTGAGACTTAATAGCTACATTTACACACATCCAAGTAATCGCATTGATGGCTTAATTGGACTGAAAAACCTTCATGTAAACACCTTAATCGATCCAAATAACTTAGAGATCTGAAATAATTTGATCAATGGTCAAACTGTTTTTTTTTTCATTCAGATTCAAAAATGCTTTGTGCACACGCAGTTTACATCTTAGGGATGTGTATATGCTTATTTACATCTTACGTACTGGTCAGTAGAGGAGACTGAATATTTACGCATGTAAGTATTTGCTAAAAATACTAAAAAAGTTTGACATATGTAAACTTTCTTTTTAGATATGTCATTAAGGCAAAAATGGCAGTTATACTCATGGTAGCTTCAGTGACATTATCTCAGTGGCTTTTTTTTTTCATTATAAGAAGAGTGGCCAGAATATTCTGCAGAGCATTAGGTTCAGTAAGACCTGACCTATAAAAGAAAAAAATAAATATGTTTACAACAGTGTATGTGTTTGTGACCCTGTAGAGCTCTCTGGCCCCTGTCATTGCTTCAAAGACTCTACCTCTGGTGCTGAGAGCTGCCACACCCACCTCACCTATCATCATGACACCAGGACCTACTATCACCGTGGTTACAACCCTTGGCAACACACTCCTGGCAAGCCCTCCTAGCTCAGATCCTCAAAAGTCCCCAGTAAACTTCCAACCAGTCATCCAAACGACCGATCAGGGAGCAGAGCCGGTGCGAGTCATACCCAATAGCACTGTTGTTGTAAGTATTTCTAGAGCTGTTTTGGCTCTCGTTATAGAACAAGAAGAGTTTTGTTTATTCCCACTTGTTTTGAAAACTGCATATTTGTTGGGGGGCAATTTCAGGCTGTCGGATTTCATTTAGATCCCAAGAGCTCAGGGCTGGTTCTTTTAGATTTTGGACACAATTATTGCATTGCATCTGCCTCTTTTTGTGGCTTAAATAGCTAAAGGTATTTGTTGTAGGATGTAATATGTTGGACAGATTAGTGAAGTAAGGGTGTCTTGTCACAGGTGCAAGCTGCCTCCCAACCAATCAAAGTTCCTCAGTTTGTTCCTCCAGTCAGACAGACAACTCGGCCAGCCACTCTACCGCAGGTTTGTTTCCATAGAAACCCTTCACACCCTACTGCCTGGCTGGACTAGTGAAAACCCCTCACTGCTGAGTGTTAGTGTGCATCTATGTGTCTTGTTTTTTTTTCAGCTGCAGGTGTTACTTTTCTGTGTGATATTTTCTTCATGCTCCATCTTGTTTTCTTGCTCTGGATTTAATTTCTTTGTGCTTGCTTAGTGGTGACATTTGCAATCCCTGCTTTTGCTGTTGCTTTTGACCCTACAGTAAATTGAACCTTAACCCTGATCTCTCTCCAGCAGTATTCTGTGCTGTTGTATTCTCTGTTGTATATGGTGTGTGTGTGTGTGTGTGTGTGCATATATATATGCTAGGGTTGGTTGATATAAATCATACATCACATTGTAATTTTCTATAACATGGCGGAATACAAGTTTGGGGTTGATAAGATTTTTGAAACGTCTCTTATGCCTACCAAGGATGCATTTATTTGATCAAAAACTGGTAAAATATTAATTAAAAACTTTTCTATATATTAAAATGTATTTTATTCCTTCAATGGCAAAGCTGAATTTTCAGCAATCATTACTCCAGTCTTCAGTGTCACGTCCCATTTTATTTATTTTATAAATAGTTCAAAAGAACAGCACGTATTTAAAATGAAAATCTTTTTAACATTATAAATATCTTTAAAGAGCAGGTCATATGGTATTTTAAAGTGTCCTAATATTGTGTTGGAGACCCATACAACAGGTTTAAATGCATCTAAGGTCAGAAAACATTGTAATTTTCTCAGAATATACATTTAATATTAGAGTCATTTGCCAATGATTTCGAAACGATTCGTTCCAAGCAAGTTCGGAGCAAACCCCTCCCTTCCATAAGCCTACTCTGCTCTGATTGGTCAGCTGGCCAAGCCTGTTGTGATTGGCACAGAGAGAAGTCCTTGAGCAAGTTAGCGAGCGCTACCATTAGTGATGGGAAGTTCGGATCATTTTACAGACTCGGACCTTTGAGTCTCGTTCAGCAAAATGAACGAATCTTTTTTCAAATCATTTCGTTCATTTTAGTAAAATATAATTAAAATGTTATGTGTTACTTCCCTAACACGTCTACTACTTACACAAACGTTGATCACACTACAAACAATACAAAACTGCTATAAGAAACAGAAAAGATTAATTGTTTACCTGGGTTTTCAGTCTATGATTAGCTCACCTCACCTCTTATCTGACAAGTCTTCGGGTTTGAGTCGTTCGTTCATCACGTGACAGCCCCATACGCTTAACCAATGCAGTCTGAGCTGGAAAGAGAATTGATTAGTTCATCTCTCGAGTCTTTCGAATCATTCGTTCTTTTGTCATGTGATGTGACAGCATTGATAGAGAAATTAGTTAATTTACAAGCTTCCTTACAAACGGGTGCATAGTTATATTTATTATCATCATTATTATAATTATTATTTACTCTTACAGTTAC